AGACGGTCCAATAACACAACCATTAGAAGACTTGAGAGTGACATTCCGATAACAACACCGTCACTTTCATTAGACATATGGTAAACATAACACGTATTAACACTGACACACACGTGTGATTGTATGAACTGATCACGTCGGTTTCGGCTTAACTATAATCCTATGTGCAATTATGTAGTCAACACTGTGGGGGGTTGGTAAAACATTAGAAAAAAGGTGACAACGCATTGTTCTTTTTTGTATTTTCCCCAACAATATTGCATAATAAGCATTGTTGAAACATATAGTTCGATAAATATAATGTAATTAAGATTTCATTATCAAGTGAACTGGCATGTGTTGATGTGATTCCAAATAGAAATGATTCTTTATTGAAAGAGATTGCAATAAACAGAATATCAAGAAGATTTACAATTTCCTGTCATAATCCTTGTACTTCTCTTCATTTCCATAAGCAGTGAATTAATGTTTCTGATTCATTATAAAAAAAGGGGTACAGAGTGAATGGGAAGAAAAATTTCTTTATCAAAAAAGGTATTGTAACTAGGATATGGTATATAATTCTGACCCGAAACTTTTTTGAGACTGTAAAGGGAATTTCAAAAATCTTTTACATTTAACGAAATCAAATAAAAAAAGAGTTCCTTCATTTGTGTATATCTGTTGGTGCTTGTGCTGGTGTAATGAGACATTTGTAGAAGTCTTTTGAACATTTTTTATTTCTAAGAAAAAGTCAGATTGACTGAAGATTTCTATTAAGCAATTTTTTATCATAATTAAATTTAGGGGTTTTCAGTCACATCAAAAGAAATCGATTCCTAAAATAGTGAACCTAGTTTTCCCCCACTGAAGGTTTAATTCTGGTGAAAAATGTCTTTGATGTACCTTTTACTAACAAATCATACAACATTTCTCTCATCAGTTTTGAGATCTTTGAAAAAAACATTCATTCATTAATAATCTCCCTTAAGGATATTTGAGTACAATCTAGCACTAGAGCAGTATCATATGCAAACTGTTAAATCGAATTAGGCATGTTTTCCACTTTGCTCCCTTAAATAATTCAATTTCTTCTCTGTTTTGCAGCAAGTCCTTCAACGCAGGGTATATATATATATAACTGGGTTGCCCTGACGACATCAGCGACAGATGTTGATAGGGGAGAAGAGATATGATCACCATGATTTATTGATGCATAAACAATAGAATGAAGTGTTTTTCAAAATTTATTTAGAGTAACATATCAGGAATATTTTCTTTTTCAGAATGAAATATGACATCATATGATGTTCAGATGTTTTCCCTATATTTCACCTTAACATGAAAAACCTGTTTTGTCACTATCTATTAATGTATCTATAAGTTTCCTTATTCTTTGTGAGATGTGAGTTGTAAGTGAAAGGTGAAATAGGTCTTTACTATTTAATGATTTGACGAGAGTTTTCTCCCTTGGGAATACAGGTATATTACGTCCATCATATATTATAACCACCAGAACTGGAAATCTAAGATACGACAGACTTTTCTACATCAGCTGCTTATCTCGATCTTTTCATCTTTTATCAAGCTGCATGATAAAACGTAATGATTTGAATTTCCCTTTTGTGAATTTTCCATTTCTGGAAAGCAATAATCCTGCATCTCAAACATATGGTATTTACATACCAAAGTTGTTTCGATATTCAAAGGCCCGTTATCACGATTTTCGTGCAAGAAGTCGTCAACTGACTTGAAACTCGTAGCACAAGGACTAAAAAACAGATGCAGGTTGATTAAAATTATGGGGAAGTTTTATGGTCGCCATAGTGATCTGATTGACAAATTTTCTATTTCGTTATGTGACATGAATCTGGGCGTATCTGATGTTCGTTAGTTTGCTTGTTGGTTCGATTGTAGTATACATTTTTTTCGCTTGAGAACGTGATATTAATCAATTGGATTGACCAATGATTACATGGAAGGTGTCCTTGATGAAGCTGAAGACTCTTACTCTTTCGGAACACTTAGTCTTATTCGCCATGTAGTTTTTCATTAGTCTCCGTGTAAATCTGGCCTTCTTGATGTTGGTATTTTCTTGATTTTTGTTTTGTTATAATACCTTGTCTTAGTGTGACTGAAAGTTGGCAGACTGAAAAAAACAGATATTGATAGATCAAACAATAAGAAATAAGATATTTCAAGAAACATTTGAAAAACTCAGTAGTAAAACCAGCATAACCTGAACTCTTGTTGTTCGTCATGTATGTTTAGAATATCACTTGCCTCGTCTGTTGAAAGTTCACCTTTACGACTAGAAGTTTCGATTAAATTTAACATTTGAACAAATTAAATCATCTACCACCCTAAACGTACTTAGATATTCATTAATTATATTGTTTCATGTAGAATATATTCTTGTTTGGTAATAGTTTTACTTTTGAGGCTTAAGATTATTTTTTAATCAAATTTCGGTTCTCAAGGCTGAGAAAATGTGTTCGTTAAATGCTGACACTTTCTCCCTCCTAACACTTCTTATAGTGCTACTTAAATTTTCGCAAACTTTATCTGAACAAACATCAAGATTTAATTGCCATATAAGATAATATTCTCGTTCCATAAGCTATAAATTCTGTCAAAATCTAAATTGACAAAAAATAGGTTAATAGTCGTTAGGACGCTAAAGAGTTATTAGTATTGTTTTATGACTCTCCATTTCAATATCAATAGCTAAACTTTCCGTTTGAATCACGCTTTTCTTTGCATATTGAGATCTAAAGGAACTAAAGTAACTATTGTAACACCATTTACTTCTATTGCCTAAAGAACACAGTTAGGCTACTCATGTTAAATCATTGAAAGAAACCAAATTTAATCACTGAATTTCCAAGTACGAGTACAAAAAGATAGAAAAAGAAAGTTCAGGTATGGAAGCCATAATCAAGACTGACCAAGACGCCTTTTCTTCCCAAAACCGCTGTAGTGTCTGTGTACCTTCTAAGGAATATCCTTTCTCTTTTCCTGATATTGATTCTCATTTGCTCAGTTTTGATCTTGAATTACGAATTTGCTAATATTTCGGAACAAGGACACAGTTTTGAACTAACGATTAAAGCCAGGAAAACAATCACTGACGATTATTGCAAACTATGGAACCAAAAGGGACAGTTTTTTCACCAAGCTTTATGATAATTTTTAATCATTTATTTCGAACTTTCTATTTCTACAAAGTATAAATCATGTTTACCTAGCCGTTGGTGCTACATTGTTTTTATCATGCCACACTAATATCAAGAGTTTGCTTCCGATATTACACGACAGATCGATACGCAATACAATGTATCGAGAAATGCGAGTTAATGAGGTCAAATGCTTTGTAATCGTCGCCATAACCTCATGCTTGGTGTTTTGTTGTTGTTAACCTTATATAATTTGGAAACGTGACATTACTTACATGGATATACCAGGATTTATATGGCGAGCTTTTCGATGAAGCAGTAAACGCTAACCCTTCCTGAACATTGGCCATTGTATTGCATTAGTGATTTTCATGTTCATTTCTTCATATCTTATCCTCGTTTTCTCGATTTTTGAATTGTGATTAAGATTTCAAAGACATGTCAAAACTATATTGTTGTACTAATTATTGCCTTTCATTCAAGTGTTAACGATAGTAAGAAAGCAAATGAAGCAGGTCTGTCATTGTAGCGGTCCCCAGACATTTGTCTGTTCTTAACTTGACTTTGTGATATACGGAAAAGATAGAAAAACAGACAAACATTGCTACAAAAGTTGATTTGAGTCACTGAAACCTTTGAATTTCATGCTGTATATATGGTTAAACATTACTTCACAGACAAAACGTTTCCCATCTCGTGAAGAAAATAGGGTTATTGATGAAGCGCATGCAGTTTGTCCATCTAAATTACTACCGTTACAGGCATGTTTCCTGCACAACGTCTTCAAATACTGCGCTTAGACTTATTCATGTTTGCTTACTGTAATTAACATCACCCTGGACTATTATGAATTGAATAACTGCACTCTTTAGAATCAACGTTAATAATCTTAAAAAATACGTAATATCAATACGTAAACAAACAGTTATACTTCATGTTTACATGATTAAAAAAGCAAGTATCCACGGATTTGATTCAAACTACAAATCTCTACGAAGAACGGAATGATGTAGTTCAAAATTTATAATGGAAATTACTTTGGAAGTACGTCTAGACTTTTATCTAAAATTACTGGTTATGATAATATAAATGATACAGTGATATTAACCACATAAGAGCAAGTGCTTTGTAAATAGCCGTGAGATACCGTGTACAATGTAATTATCATTCATTCAAATAGTGGCAGATGGTATACATGCACTTTACGTTGGATCGATCAGATACGTTGAAATTAAAAATTTTCTGAAATATGGGATGGTACGCCGCCCGATATAGATCTCGACATTTTCCCAATCATTTTTACATTTCTTCAGTGTCCTTCTACATTTCAAAATTTAGGCCCTTATTGTCGAGACCTAAAAGGACGAAACAGCTGTATGATACAGTTAATTCATTATCTAACGTTTTTGTATCTAGTTTTAAATTTGTATTGAAAGTCGCTCTTATCTTTTTATGGCTATTGTACATTCTTGTAACATTCGTATCGCGAATACCTGCAAACTTATAAATGAAGCTAATGGATTAGTCAAATGCTTATTTTGCTTTACTGATACTAAAACACATGGCTTTACATAAACATCAATGTATTTTCTGTTTGGGAAAAATGTTTTTTACAGAAAAACTAATTGCTAATATAGGTGAGTAACTTCACTCATCTGAGAAACTTTTTTCAGTCCATTGAAATGACAACAAAACAACCAATCTGCATAAAAAAGCAAATATTCTCTGATTTGTTACTTACTTTCGGACACATGTATACCATCTATAAAACATTGATGGGTACCAATGCTAGGCGGAAGGAATGTAGTAATCAAGCCAGCCACTACAGACTACACATAAAAGACACAGATTTTAGTACTTTATATGCTTATCTTTTGACCATACATTGTATATCATGGTAGTTCCGCACTGATTGCTTTAGCCAAATAATTAAAAGGTTTTATGAATTTATCGATGTCTGTACTTTGATATCTGTCTTCTTGCCCTTCTCTTTTACTCTTTTTCACCATCGATACGTTTTGAGCTTGAACTGATATCTCCTCATTAGCACCAATTGTTGCACTAGAAGAAGACTGGAACACTCTGCTTTGTATTCAGTTATCAACTCATCATTCGATATGTTGTCGGCACTGGAAACCTGTCTTAGACTCGGTGTCTCCGCCAATGGATTATACACCAAAACATGCTACCGACTTATCCTTGATTTAAACAAACTGTGGTCGCATTGTGGAGATCGAAACTCTGTTTCTATATATTGTTTGCAGACAAAAGTACATTTCTTCTTCCGATACTGTGTTCTCGCTATTGTCTTGATAATGACTACAGGAAGTGTTTTATATTGTTTCGCTTGATCTATCGAAAACACAGCTGTACTGAGGAGTTACGATTGATGTGTTTCACTGCGTATGTCTACACGGTACACTTACGCTCCAGAGCCACATGATGTTATTTCAGATTGTTTGTTCAGATTGTGTGATTCTGTTACGTATGCTTAGTTATACCAGAAAATTGCCATTTTCGACAGGAATTCAAAGGTTGAACGACAGTACTATTAGAAACTTACACCTGGTTGCTTTATCATCATTTTTTTTCCTGAAGAGAGAGTGGTATTGAATATTGAAGTAATCTAAACAGCTTTGACACAAAAGTTACACATTTTATTTTATGGTGACCTGATATAGATAGGGAAAAAACGGAAAAAATTCTAGAGTTGATATAATCACTCCGTGTTTGGACATAATAATAATTTGGATTCATTCGCGTACATGCGCTTAAAAGTACAAATGACAAATGATTTTGTGCAACAATTATTTGTATTGTGTCCAATTTCAGTTTGTTTTGTTCAAAAGGCAGGATTTACGATAATACTCAGTATCACTACAGTTTACTATACGAAGATTGTGATTACTGCATTGACTAAAGCGCTGATGTTATTTTGCAATATTGACTATCTTCATTTGGTCATAGATCCCTGACACGTTCTCATCTATTCTGTACTCGTTAAAGGTAACTTGTTTACTCACTTTGGGATTTTACTTAAAACCGATTGTGCACGATATATTTTGTTCAGTAATGCCTTTTCCGAATCCCTGAATAGCTTAAGCATTGCAGTATATGCTGGAATGTAAGAGTTCAGAATTCATTTCAAATGTTTATTAACTAACGAAATGATGAGAAAAACTCCATATAGCTTGATGACTTGGCGTAGTGGCCACTCATTGCATGTCCTGAAGCACGTGTTCCGTCGATACAAGCCATGCCTCGTTATTGACACGTTCTCGTGTACTCGATTCAAATCCAGCCAATAGGAAGTATCCTTGATAGTATAGAGAAGAGTTTCTTGTGTCGTTCTGTAACCTTACGACTTCGTTTTGGCATCTGGGGAGTACTAAACATCCCGAGAATTGTCTGGAATAGACCAAGATATAGTTTTTATTCATGTGGCACATATCATTACATACACTGCAGGTAAGATACAAGTATTCGAATTTAAGACAGACAAGAATATGCACGTGCACAACCATATTTGACGTAAGCGACAATCATTTTTGTTTTCTTGTTTATGAGTTCCCCTACATTTATCTATTTTTTCCGCAATGAAATTATATAACTTACCTTACATATACATTGAAGGATGGTACTTCCTGTATGTGTACGGAAGCCGCTGTGGGTTCAGGAACATTACCATGGACAGCTGGTGGTATCATTCGAAACATTACGAATACAGATCGCCCGTCTGGGAAAATGTTTGGCGCCACCCTTAATACAACTGGCTGTGTCTGCTCTATGATAGCTCCTAGTGGTAAAGCAAGGTACATGTACAATACTGAAGGAAGGGAACGTTACGTTATGTCATGTGTATTACTTAGTATTTTTTATTTTCAGCGTAGACATTAAGTGTGTTTTAATACATTGTGACTTCATAACGGATTCTACCGGGAAACATTCGTACATAGTACATTTTATTTTGAACAAGGATAGCATTGTCAACCTTCAACACAAAAATAATTGACCCATGATCTCGTTAACATTTTCCTATGCAAAATCCATTAAAAAGTTTTTCTCATTACCACGCTTTGATAATAAGTGCCTTAACCAATGAAATAATGGTAACAATCGATGATAAGTGGCCCTAATACTTTGTATCTCATTACCAGCCTTCAATAATAAGTATGTGAACCTAATATCTACTTTCCAACCTCTTGTACTTGATCAATTATGTTAGTCTATGTGTCAGCCTTCAGTACGACGCAACTTGAACAAGCACCTCATTGTCAACCTTCAATAGAACCGTTTGTATATTATACTTACGCTCAGTATTTTCCCTGTTGAAATACCCATCCAGGAGTGCGTGCATCTCTGTCTCTGCATCAGCAGTTAGTGATGCAGAGATATGGCGTGTAGCAATCCATTTGGACTCATCGTAACGACGGTACTCATAATCCTGATGAAGTGAAGAACAGCACTTAAACACAATTCCACAAATTTGAATAATGTCACAAAAATGCTTTTAAATATAAAGTATCCTCTTAAAACATTAAAATATAAAATAGACATGGATGTTCAACGCTTATGTTCAAGCGAAATTTCAACCATTGTCGAAGTGTACTCCATATCAAAAGGATAGTCAATTTATGTTGTTTTTATTGAAAAATTATGAAACATTACAGGACTGTCAATTTGCTTTACTTTTAGTCCAAAAATTGCTTTTCCATGACAAACGATGTGAAAACTATTGAGAAATATCTTGATATAAATTGGGAACTAACGGTGACATGTCATTCATCACAATTCTCGTTATTTCCATTTGTAGCCAAATCGACACAAATTTTCCCTATTTATAATAAACTTTCCTTTAAAGCTTTTCTGTTCAGTATTATGTCAAATCACTATTTTCCATTTGCGTCTTCCAAAATTGTAGATTTGCCTAACAGATATATCTGACATTTTCAAACATTGGTCTTAAATTTGTACAGCAAAGATCATTCAAAATTTAGACTATCCTGTTATGGATCCGCACTCGTTATCTATTTTAAGATAAGCAACGCATTTCCATACCATATCCAAAGTTGTATCAAAGAACTTATGCCTACGAAAAGAAATCGTTAAAACAGCATCTACAACGGAAAACATGTATTTATGGAGTTTATTTTAAGTTAACAGTTTCGACAGAGTGTTCACATAACTCTACCAACTGTGTGTCACATTCTTTATAACCTGGTATTGATGAAACATGGATGGTAATATAATACAGTTCTTATGTATACAGTGCAATTATCGGTCAGAGGTGGACGGGATAGTTATTTCAATGCAGATGTTCTTTCATTCAATCATTTCTAAGATCCCTTCAAGATAAGCTCAATGCTAATTAGGTGTAACCTAAATTTAGGCAAAGATGCTACCAGGTGCAATTAGAGATAAAAACAACTTAACATGAATTGATAATCACAATTTTATCAACGATGAAAAGAATGATACAAGAAAAGAAAGATGGCGACATTGTTCTAAAAAAACCTTAACCGTAACTGAGCTTTGGTAATTGGAGTAAGGTAAAGTATTACATACTCCTCACGGGGAAGACTCGAAACATGAATTGGATATTAGCGCATATTAGCTCACAAACAGGAGGAGTAAATTACATTTTAGCAACAGTTCTGTTCAAGTTTGATTGCCATTTTGAAACAAAGTTCGGATGACTGACGGGGCCTTGCCACATGCTTTAATCGTATATGCATGTTAATCATTCTTGCTGGTCTGGATGGAATCGAGAGGTGTTACTGAAGGAGGACACTGTAGTACCCAGAGAAAACTCCCACACGGTCGGTCAGGTGACCCTATACACTTTCACGTCTATTCGAGGACTCGAACACATCATGTTCAGATGAAAGGCGAATGTGTTACTGCCACGTCATCCGACCATCCATATGGTTCAGATAGTTATCTCGGACAACTTACATAATAAATCAAAATTTTAACATTATACACATCCATTTTTTACTAACTCTATTTATTTATTCATTAATTTATTATTTATTTTTCTCTCTTTTTATTTTGTTGTTTTTTTCTGTTAATTGATAAAAAAAAATATTTTCAAAACGTCATCTGAAGCATTTTCGTCACACTATCTTACAATTTGCCCCGTTTTACCGTAGCACCCCCGTAATACTTCCTTAGTGAAATCACATCCATACGGTAGCAGAAAATATAACGATATTGTTCCTTTGCACTTCGCAAACACATACTGGAGACTTGTTTATTTTACAAATAAGGGGCATGGGGCATGGTCAATCAAAACAAAATTATTAGCATAGTAGTATCTAAATATACAGATCGACTTGTGATTCGCTGATTCGTGTGAACAAAAAACTCCATTTATTACGTGATTATTTCTTTTCGCTTCTGAAAAGCAGGAACTTGTGTTTGCCAGTGTCAACTTACGTTCGTTGATTTTTCCCTGATGATGATATATGTTGGACAACGGACATTCTCGGGACAACTGCTGTCAATACGAGGAATGACGGACGCTTCACTTTCAGACTTCATCAAAATCAGCATAATGCTTGACAGTATAAGTGATCGGTCCATTGCAGAAATCAGGTATAAACCCAAGAACAGGACTCTAAAAATAAATAATGTTCAAATATTATGTCATCGATTGCAATAATGCTTTGTTTCAGGCATTATGTTGCCATGTTGGAATTTTCTTATTATTCTTTTTTTTTAATTCCAATTCATGATTTTATTATCTGTCTTTGTAGGGCGTAAACTGAAGACATGCATAATCATAAAAATTTGAATAAGAACTAAACTGGAAAACATTCACATCGATCTGACTGCTTTTATCATTCATAGGGCATAATTGGTTCGGCACGTGATCAACGTCAACGCAGTCTCTTGTTACATGGACCGTAAGATGTTTTATATACAATGTAGGTTCCCGTTGAGCTTTAGTTGTGCTAGTTTGAATTTGGGACTGATCAGAAAAACACATTTGCTGGCAGGCGGCTATCGTGGATTTGGATTAGATATGTTTATAATATACAAGGTATATATGACGAACGTGGTCAACAAATTCGACAAGACGTCATTAATATATCTGAAAGTTACATTATATGACTATGTAAGGTCTTTGTGGCCTGTTTTCATTAGCTCTTCAATGAATGCAGTGTCATATGAAAATAGAAATAAAGCCAACATAGGGATATTGGTAGTTCCCATAGATACGTATATCACATACATTAATATAGAATGCTTAAATCTACATATTCGTCACAAATAATAGATTTAGCCGAGTTCGTCACTACTAAAATGAAGTGTTGATTTTTCCTTATAATTCTAATAATATAGCGCGAAAAGAGGAGTGCCAAATTGGGCAATTAATCGGTCATATAATGATTTTAAAGCTTTCCACTATGCTATATGATAAGCGTGATAATTTCAATTTGTCTATTGTGAATTGTCCATTGTCAACTAATTATTGTTTTCATATGTTAGTATTTTCTTGTTGTTTTTTCCTATTTTAGTGTGCTGTTCAAAAAATCACATTTCGTGCGAAGTGGTGAGTCAAATGTTGTGTTGATTAAAGTTAAGCTTCTTTTGGCTTTATTCTGCTATAGAAGAATCTGGTCTTGAGAAACAAAATGAATGTAACTGTTAGAAATTATTTAAGGTCACCGACACTAATTCCTTAAACGCTATATATTGTTTATTACTAACTAAACTACTATAAACCTCTAAATGATTTGTCAACAATGGCTTTGACCATAACAATTCTATGAACCAAAATCCAAATATCATCCACAAAATCGCCATTACCAATCTCATAAAAACTTTACAACAATCACAAGACTTTAATTACCAAACTCCCAAAGAACTTGACAACAACTTTAACGACCTCAAGACTTTAATTACCCAACTTCCAAATAACTTGACAACAACGATTTTATCGACAAGGGAATCAGGAGGGAAACCTTTGCGAATGCGTTTGCATACAATAATTTATTTGGTGTTATTGATAATATTTCCCCATTTGTACTTATCAAAAAATGCCACATAAATCTGACCCGTTTTCTTATACATTGAAGATATATGATAACACATTAAAACAAGTGGTCAAATAAGCTAGCTTTTCTTACTAATATCCATCTAACCGAGATAATTATTCAACAACCACTTTCAAATATAATAATATATTATGTTAAGATACTGCTTAGAATTTTTAAAATATATTCGTATAGTTATTGTACAAGTACTGGTGGCAACAAACACAAACATTTTAACAAGTCAAGATCATAATTCATTTGCTGCAAATTTCAATCATTACCTGATATTTCTTGGCTGTCAGAAAACTTATTCTTCGACACTTGTGTTCCCTAGTGAATTCGTGGTCCGTAATTCTGGTTTTACAGTAGGAATACTTAACGAGTTCCTCGCTTCCATAAAGCATATAACAACTTTGTTGTGGTATGGAAGGCAGTAGTGACAATAACATTACTGCTTGGTGAGAAGCAATCATCTGTTACCCTGACACGTATTACAGCCTCGTCTTGACTTTCAACCATTTGCATTTGTAACTTATAATCTGCTTTATGCTTTCATCAAAAGGTCAAATGATTTTTTTTCTTTTTGCTCTTTTTGAACTATAGTTCTTCCCTCTATGGAGACCTAAACCTCTCTTTTAATCTTAGCTAAAATGATGTTAACTTCCTCCGTATAATCAATCACTACAGTAACACATCCTTGACCCAGTTAGACTAGATTGTATGTTACACAACTGTATCCAATTGTAACGGTTGATGGATAGAAATCCTATTCTCTACTGTGCTTTTACCTTCTAGCATACACTTATCGTTCTTTCTACAGTGCTCTAACATTTCACTACTCTGTAGTATCTCTTTACTGTACTTTCATCGTTCCCTTTACTGGGCTCTCACATTTTCGTTTTATTTTATTGTGCTCTCATTTCCCCTATTCTATAACTTTAAATTTTCATTTACTGTACTCTCACCTTTCCCTCATCTCTTCTGTACTTTCACCTCCTTTGCACTCACTTGTCGTCTACTGAAATCTTACCATTCACTCTTCTGTATTTTCACCTCTTTTGCACTCATCTGCCATCTTCTTTGTTCTTATCTTTCCATCTTCTGAACTTTCACCTTTCACTTTGCTATTCTGTCACCATTCTATCAAACTGTACTGCTTTTTTAATGTACCTTATCGTCTTCTCCTTGTAATATTAATTAATCTCGACGATTCATCATTCCCACTTTCTTTCTGCCTTTTATAAACGACTTTGTACGTCGCCATTAAGACACTGATCCGACTATATCCTCAGCGTCTCCATACATTGCAACCATTGATTGTAGACATGGCCTCGTCCCTGAACTCAACGCTGACAATACTTTGAACCACTTGTAAACACTTGTCTGCTACGGGTTATGCGGATGTGGTTATAATACAGTACGTGTCATGATTTGATCATTAACGTTCACTCTCTACCAAGACGACAGTTCATTCTCAGCCAAGTGATACATGATATACAGAAACGATCTTTCTGTCTGGTACATCACGACAAGGGACAAGGATTGATATAGTGTAAAAACAGAGCTGTTCATATTCACTTCTCGGCTCAAGCCGAAATTTATGATAACATGACAAACAATCAAAACTTTAACCAATACCTAATGGAAAATGACTCACTGATATACACACTTTAACAAATATCCCATTGGGCAGGATTAGATCATAAACAGGCAACAACATGTGACGAGTTTGGTCTGTCAATTACATGTACTTTTAAAACACCATATTCATCTTCCTGTATATAAAGGTGTTATGATTAATCCAACGACTCTAGGCTCTGGGGGAAATGTCGACTTCCTTGAATGTTGGTTTAGGTTAGATAATTTAACACATTTTATCCAAACATGCTTCATTCCCATTAGATGAAGCATGGCCATAAACCTCATGGTTAATTAAGAGTCACTTCTTAACGCGTTATTCTAGAAAGCTACAGGGTAAATATCATGATCCTAGCCCTCTTGGTTAAGGACAAGATATTTGAAGAATAAGACACATTTGACGCATTATGATTACGGATGAACGTAAAGTAAAACAACAACAAAAAAACCAATATGTCGACAAAATCATTATCCAAACTGAAATCCAATAACACAAAGGCAAAATATCATATAGGGAAAGATTTACACGTAGAAGTCTGAAAGTGAACAAGGAAAATACAACCATGTATACCGGAAAAGTAAGTGTCTTCTGTATTATCGACGACACCCGCGAAGTAAACTTTTTAAAAGTTTTCAAATGAGAACAAGGCGTACAACAAGAGAACCAACCGGCACACAAACGAGAATCAAACACGCCCAGCTGACGACTTCTAGCACGAAAATTGCAATAATGGGAACAAGCTCTTGAATATCATTTAAGTACCATAGGCTGGGGATTCAGGGTTGTTGTTATCAAGAAATATAAAATTCGCAATAGAAAAATGGACATGATTACGCTTGTTAAACAGCTTGGCGGAAATCTATCTATTTTGTTTTCTTTGTAGGAAAGAAAAGATAGTTATAAGTAGATGCTGTAGAAGTGTTTGCTGTGGCCTTGATTTCGAATCCTGCATGGTATATACTTGTTATATAAGGAAAAGACATCAACATATCTGCATGTGAAGTTTAACGACTTTGCAAGGTCTGTGTGACATGTTTTGATAAGTTCGTCGAAAACTCAGCCTCGTAAGAAAACAAAAAGCGAGTCAGCTAACAGAGGGGTATAATTAGTCCCATAGGTATGCCAATAGTCCCCTGGAAGATCTGACCACCAAATTCGACAAAGATGTTGTCAGCCAGAAATTGATGTTTTTTTTTTACGAAATGCGCTTCAGTATAGTTAACAACCATAAATTTGTACCGCCTTTCACCTTTCTTTGAACAGCAACAAGATAATGAAGGCGTTGTGTCAGTTATGAATAAGGCATCGTGGTGTACAGGGTGGAAAAAATGATTACAAAAGAGTTTTTTGAAGAGGGTATTGAAGATTGGCCAAAATCTATTGTGAGGTCATTAATGCCACATACTTGTAATTCAACCTTTGAGAAAACAATGAAATATAATACTGTAACCCACATTTGATGTTACTAAAACTGGTGTGATAAGTAGTTTTGATAAAGACTTGGTTGAACAGCTAGAAAAGCCAGCAATACAACGTTCTTTTTATGGATTGTTCAGAGGTTTATAAATCCGATATAAAAGGAGAGGTCCGTATCCTTTTCATTAACATACAAGGCAAACGATTGTTATGTCGTACATAATTTGCCAGTATTTCGATTTTGGAAAGATTGCATAGTGTATAGGTGGGGTTCGTACTTTATTTAGCAAGCCTAGTTCTTTTTTGTATACAGAAAATGTAATAATGTTTGCAGACAAGAATCAAGTATTGGACGCCTTATCTGCAAAAACAATAACATATATGTCATGTTAATTTCGAAGTGTGACATATCCTATATAGTTATTCTGAACCTTTTGGACGTTGAGCAGAAATAGTTTGAGGAGATATTGACTCTCGTGACTTTGAAAGTTGGTCAAGGTCGTTTATTAGAATGAACTTAGTAGCCCTATCCCAAAATGCTGCTGGCCAAACTTCATTACTCTCCGTCACTTGTTTTTTGAGATTTAATTAGAAGTAAAATATTACGCAGGGCAGACTAACACCACGCCGCAGCATTAGCTCAGATGCCCTTCAGGCAAGTCTGCCAATTATTTGATTGTCATAAACAGGCTTATTACGATACTGCTAGTTAGCTTTCCACTTCTAAACTTTTTATGGCAGCTTGAGATCACCAGAATGTCTTTACAATGAAAGACCAGTATGACCTTTTTAAATCCAACATAGACAATTTACACAGCTTGATGTCAATGACAAGGAATGTAAATTTGATTTTTAAACGTATGGAGAAAAGAAAACAATATGAACGGCTGACACACAAGGACATGTGATCCAACAATATTATAGTGATGTGAATAGAGGCATATCTAATTCGGAAGGAAGGGAGCTTAAATATCTTCAATGCATTGTCGTCGTTCTGACTCATCCGCATGACAATAAATCTCCTAGACTTTTGAATTGCGGCATATAAATCGGGAAAGCATTTTTCCTTATTTAGATTTTTTAGATATGAGCGAAATAATGTTTTCTGTTCAGACGATTATTTTGATATAGCGGAAAAGTACATTGCCAATAATGAATTTGATATGTGGTGCATCTTGAATACAGCTGGATTATTTATCATTTATTTAGATGATATTCATTTAATAATATTTTATGCACATATGTTGCGAAAGAAATTCAAAATCAGATGGTACCGATAACCACTCTGTATAGTTATGATGTGTCGATGTTTCTGTATTCTACCTTGACATTTTAAAAGTGATGCTTAGTATTTAGAAGACAACGTTTCACGTCATATACAACCTAGGCCAATACATATGTAGAAGCAGACTTCCTGGTCAGCTAAATGCATGGATACACTCGAGATGTCCTGGAGTTGCAGAGCTACATCTTTATGGACATTCCGATGAAAGAAAGTTCGATAGCGATCGTTGCAGATGGAATCTTGTACATACATTTGTAAATAGGAGACTCCCTTTGGAATACGTCCAAACAATACTACGAGACTTGTTGAAATTAATTTTTTTGTTATACTGATATCAAGTTTAACCAAGCCTATCATGAACTATACAGTGTACTCCCACGGGAAAGTAAAACAAGATTTCTTCTTGTTACGCAATAATAAAATCGCAATAATCGTTCTGTCATATTACATTGGACAAAGTGGACAATAAAGGCAACATTTAATTAAATCACAATGACGTTCGAGACAAGAAAATACCAATAATTCAACATAATCACATTACGAACTCAAATTCAATAAAACTAGGGCGAAATACGGGCAAGAGAACGACTTACACGGCGACTCTCGAAAAACAACAAGGAGAATAAGATCAAGTATTCCGCAAGAGTGAGCGTCTTCTGCTTCATCGACGACACCACCATGTAAACCTTGTTCAATCCCATTAGGTAATGTCGCCTTGAATACAAAAAAAACTGTGACAACATAGGAGTAAAAGGAATAACAGCACACGGCCATGACACAAAGATAAAGAAATGTACGTTAATGATTCTAAGTTAGGACTGTAGAAGAGTCACTACGTAAAAATAAGATTATCGAAATGGCACTTAATACATCCTTAAGTTTCAAAATGAATTTATTTATATCAAAGAGCTTTCTGGGTATTTTTTCACATGATAATACTGCAAGTAAAATGAAGCAGAAACTGTAGAATTAAAAAAAGCATCTCTAGACAGTTCCGAATACGATGTTGCGCGTACTTGTAAATATATATCTAGCTGTAAACAAAGATTTGAGACATTTCCAATTATTTATTTCTCCAACACGTAGGTAAATATCAAGGTAATGACGGTGAGTATGGTATCACAGTTATGTTGTACAAAAGAGAAGATAGGATACCACGAATGAAGCTACATATTTTATAAGAACATTTTTCGGATGTAAGACAGCACTACACTGTTACATATATATCTTTAATTTATATTTTATGATATTACTCGAATCATAAATACTTGCGGAATGAATTTTTCTGAGATCCAATTTCTATTTCTATATCACTTATAAATAAAACAAACGAATAGATCCATAAATCAGCATAGATATCATACCGCAAACAGCAATTGAGGGTTCTTTCTCATAAACCGCAATTCGTGTCTGTTGACTATCAGCATGCTTAAACTACGAATGTGGCAGACGACAAAAGTAATAATCCAGGTTTTAAAAATGAAGGGACTGTAGAATGTAATATAATGATTTGGTAATACCGGTTTCCAGATAAGTAGTTTTAATAGGGATGCAGGCTCGCAGTTACAAGTCAACACTGTATAAAGGTAAACAAGCATTGATATATTTTTAGTTATGTCATACACAGACATATTTATATTGATTTCTAGAATTAAACATTCAGGAAGTCTTCATTGCTTATTTTTACATTTGGAAAATACAAAATTTACATTTTCCCAGAAGGTGTTTAGATGTGTACAATCAGGAATGTAGTGCTTGAAGTCTTCTAAATTTTTATAAGTTTTAAAATTGGGGTTTTCTGAAATTTTCCATTTCACTAGCTACTTTTGTGTAGGTATTATTTGGTGAAGAAGGTTATATTTAAAATGGACTATCCTATTATCCATTCCTTTTGTAAAACTGAATTTTTCATACCTTCCTATATCGATCTTGTTATAACCTTGTTTAAATGTTTTGCCCATGAGTCATACACATAAGGTTGATCAAGTTCTTAAATTAAGAGAGTAACATCATGAAATTTTATCATTTGAAGATTTCAATGGAAGAATAATGTTAGTACTTTTTTAATAACACAAAAATGTAGTGTTGGGTTAGGGGTATATTTCATTTGATTTATCCATTCCTCTGGTTAGTCTTTTTTAATATTTCTAGTTCTGATATTCAATCTCTTTTTATTTTTTAAACGTTCTAGGATGTTCCTTTAGGATTAGGACCCATATTCAAAATGATAATCAACTAACACAATGCCTGAATGTATCTAGTTAGTATAGTTTAGAAATATTTATAAATTTGTAAATTAAGTGTTGGTAACGTTAATGCTAGATAAGTAAACTTTTAAGGATGATGATGCTTTTTTTCCACATAGCATAACTGTTTTCCCAATTAAACCTCAAACCCTTCTTTACCTCATGTTCAGAATCCTTTCTCCAATTTTTCACTTAAATTCATGTCACCTACACCTGTTTTATTATTAACGTACACTCCTAATGGTCCTATTGATGTTTCTGGGCAGTTTATATCATCAATTTCGTGCTTAAAATGTTAAAGCCCATCCTTTCCATAACCCACCTATTTGTTCTTTGTTCAAAATGAGACCTAATATTTCGCCGGATTTTAAAACAACAAGCAAAGCTGGTGGAATGTGATTAAAGCCTATGACAAAGTTGTATCATCTGCTAATATTTCTATATTTTTAAGACTCTTTAACCTTAATTATTCTTTACTTGTGATCATTTCTAATATCTAAAGCTAGAATTCCAACAATTATGACAAATAAAAAAAACAAAAAACAAAACAAAAAAACGGATACGGGACAATCTTGAGGATGTCTCTTTCAAGTTTTAAAAGATACATCAGAATTCCATCATTGTTTAATACGCAACTATAACAATTGGTATAAAGGTCTTATGCTATGATATGAATCTCCAATCCACACGAATCAAAAGCTTTCTTAAAGTCTAAGAAAAGAAAACAAAGCTCCATCTATGTTTAGTTTGACAGCATAGATAATAATAGTTTGCATCAGTCTTATGGTGTAAGCAATATATCTGTTTTTGTATAATCTTGCATTTGGTCTCCAATCCTCTAATAACCCTTAACTCCCTTTATTTATGATCAGTATATGTGTGCCTTGTCCCTGTGAAGTAGATAATTAAGATCTATAGTAACATGTGTTTAATGCCCGAGTTAAATATGTTTGAACTCTTCCTAAAATGGTTTATAGAACTCAGATGTTATACCAACTGGGTGATTTGTTCGTGTCTTACTGCCTCGGTGAGGTCCGTTTATGCCATGGATCCATCACATAGCTTACTTGTTCCATCGCTAAGTTTGTAACCAAAAACTGTTTTTATGTATTCAGTAATTTCAATTTTGTTTAGGAACGTTGATGTATATAGTTGGTTTTTTTTTTTTTTTTTTTAGAATTTTTGACAATTCTTTTCCTTTTTCCCGCATCGGAAGCCATACTGCAAAAGAGATTTTGATGATACCCATGCGCATCATTTTCAATTGGAACTCTCCTAAACAACAGTTATGTGAAACTTGACTATTCACTTTTATGTTCACGTCGGGCAGTAAAATCTCCATATAAAGGATGCAGACAATTTTATCTATCTTATGTGATAATATAGAATGAATAGAACTATTATTATTATCATTACATTCTTAACGGCCCGTCAACACATAGAAGGTCATTAGGGCCATCAAACGGTAAAACACACAGCGGTCCAAAAGGAAATAACATTAAACAAACCAAAAGGTAAAAGACAAATGTTAGAAATCTAAAATGGGTATGTAAACACAAAAGATTAAAATGGTGCGTCATAGTCTATTATATAGACCAACATCTTTCAGGTAAGCTAGAATTTTACAAATCTCAACAGTTTCAAAAAGGGATTTTAGACATGTAATGTTACGATAAAAACATTCTCGAGTAGACAGAAGGTCACTGCAGTCCAATGAAAATGTTTAACAAGGTTTTAAAATTTCATATTCTTTTTTGTGACATATTTCCTATTAATGTTAAGCTTTGTTATAGGTTTCTTGGATTGTCGATTACCCTCAAGCGGAAGAAAACCTAACTTGATATAATACTGTATGTTTCAACGGAATTTCAAGGCTTCATCGCTATTTTACATATCAGAGCAAGGTGTACAAATGTACTTAAATATTTTGTTATTATTATGTATATCTGATGCACAATGAAGTGAAAACAATTTCGCTATTAAAGTCATAATTTCTCCAGAAAGGTAAGTCTGGAAACACTTACCCATTGGCTATATGTTATTTTTTTCTTGAAGAATACCTCTATCACGATAAGTTGGTGTTATGCAATTTCTGAGGTGTCAATTAACTATGTTTTTGAACGAAAATTAACTCTAGTGAAAGATAAACTATATAAAACAATAACTTGCTGTGTGACCTCTATATACAGAACACATGTAATAAAAAGGGAAAAAAAAATCATATTCAATGAAAATCATTTTATTAAAATAAGTAAGATTATTTGTGTATCGGACATCCACCTATTCGGTTCTCTGACGTTTAATCTAATTCTGTAGGCTTTGTCCACGGCCAATTACCTTCACTTGTATATCATTTGGTTAAGATACGACAGCCATAATCTAATCATGCCTTGAAGACATTAAGACGTTAGCACTTTTTCCAGTAGACGTATTTCAGCAAGTCTTATAAGCTGCTGCTATTTACGAAAGTTAGTTGGTGAAGTCATATATATGAAACGGTAGTTGATAACGCCTACACGATACTCTCGATCCATACCTCGTTCCGTCTGTTGTTCATTACCCATGGGGGGTTAAATCCGGCAAAATAAGCCTTTTCGTGATTGTAAAGTGAGCTATCCGCAATGCTAGCTTTAAGCTTCATAAGTTCATCTTCCTTCTGCTGGTAAGTCGGCTTTCCGCCGTAAGTTCTGTGGATCAAAGATGTATGACTTATTATAAAACAACAACAAACAAACAAACAAAACAAAACGACAACAAGAAAATACCACATGTGAATATAATCCTAATCATAACTCAAATTCAATAAAAACTAGGGCAAAATATAAAACATTATACGCAGACTCCTTATAAAGAACACGAATTATAAGACAGAATGTTCTTGAAGCGTGAGCGTCTTCTGCTTCATCTACGCCATGTAAATCTTTGTCAAACTTAGTAAGTTCCTGTGCTCAGTGAGGACAATGTTTACAACAACGGAACCAACCGGCAAACATCATACACGTCCAGCCTCATGTCACACGGAAACCGTGATCATGGGAATAGGCCCTGAATTATCGAATCAACTGTGACATGTTTGCATAATGGGTTGGGCATGCAGGATTGTTACTATCCAGAAATGGAAAATACGCAATAGGAAATCATTTTGCTTACCATACACCTTGGCGGAAAGATTGCCAATGAATGGGACATAGAGTAAGCTTACTATAATAACATGAACATCCAATGGATTCTTAATCTTAATCGTTAACAATAGAAACTGATCGTAAGTATATGACGTCTACAGGCGATACAACACTACATTGTAGCTATTATGAACATGTAGCAAAGAAATCGTTCCTCTTCAGATGGATTAAAATTCATTTATTCTTTTCCAATAATGCCAGATCATTTAGTTCCGTAAAGTTAGTTAGATAAAACTTCGGGACCCAGACTGAAATAATTGAAATAAACAGGTCTGACAAACTGGGTGAGGAGATTATCACATATTTATTAAACGTCATACTGATTCCATCGCTGTTTTAGATGATATGTGGCCATTGCTAGTCCTCGGCTTATACAGAGCATGGTTACCATGGTTCCCTTACCTACACAATAGTACTTAATAGGAAATAGTTGGACTCATTCTGCATCAAAACTTAGTGACGTTTGTATGCAAATTCTTACAGTATTTTCAATATTCATGTTATTGTTTGCTAGAATTATAGAATAGAACGGGAGTAACGTGACAGTGAAAATAATTACAAAACATACGCAGGCCTGTAAGGAATATGATACGTCACTGCGACGAAATGTATATAGAATATCATGTACGTTCATCAAGCGAAAGAAAAACAAAAACACAAGTACAGAACACACATAAGCACACAATGACAAATACAAAAGGAGGAGGGAGTCATATAAATGTAGGTATACCCTCTTCATTACCTAAGCATTCCATTTTCCAACTAATTATGAGAGGATTTCATATCTCAAAAGTGACCCAATTATTTTTGATAATTTAACTGTTTCCCACTTGATGCTGCGATGTAGTGGTGTAAATATAAACCTTTATGGTAATCTTTGACCTTTATCATTTATCACCAAAAGGTAAAGATATGTAGAGCATAATGATAGGGTTCTACAATATATATGTGAACTAAACCTGTTGAGGGATTCCTGAGATATCTTATAGTTATCAACTACCATTATATATAATAACCAAGGGGTGATTGCATGAAAATGACCTAAATATGTTCGGTGGATCTCGAGTTATTATGCACGTAAGGTTTTGCATTCATTTGTTAAAGTTGTGGAGAAGTGCAACTCCCAAGACCGATAACCAACAAAATATAACCTAGTGTAGGAACTAGTAATGTGAGTGAATGGGTGTGAATACTTGTGAGTATTTTTGTTGATCACTGTTGGAAATGTTAAGTACAAGACGCTTACATTTACAGAACGCTTTGATTTTATTTTTCTGTTCCTGGAGTTGGTGGTATTTTCTTTCTTTCGTGTTACCTGTTTCGGAGTTGATGTAATATTGAACAGTCTATATTGAAGTTCTCATGTGTGTGACCTTTAACCTGGACTGAGGATGAAAAGTCAAGTGATCCGATAGTGTGAATATGAAGCTAATATATCTCGGTCATGAGTAGATACATATAATGGTCTGGCAATAATATTGTATTTCACTATATGGTATGATTCAATGTATGATATTTCATAACCATGTTTCTTTAATCTTAAACGCGACAATGTTGGTATTTTCTATTTCATCAACACTCCAACAATATTTATAATACCGTATACAAGACACAGATCACATTGATAGCTAATATGTACCCCAGCGTCAATACATATATACTAAGCATATCATAATGCGATCATGCATATATAGTGAAGACAAGCACAATTATACATATTACATTTACAACGTCTTCAACACATTCAGCATACAGGAACTTATTCATGACATTGTCAACACAAGATAAAATATACCATAACAGATATGTACATATCAGGACATAATATATAAAACAATGAAAAAATACAGATCACCACTGACAACTAACACCAGAAGATGATAAACTCTAAAGATCAAACAAAAACCAAATACATCATTGCCCTTGCAACCAAGTTAGCCTTGAAAGAAAATATACACCTCATACATCACAGTTGAACATGATGAGAAACTGTTCACGACAACTTCAATGCAACTTCTTTTTATGATATATTGGTCAACATGCATTACTGTAGTTAATACAAAAGATGAACAAAATCAAAAGGCACCGAAACAATATATAATCACCTCTCTCTCTCTCTCTCTCTCTCTCTCTCTCTCTCTCTCTCTCTCTCTCTCTCTCTCTCTCTCTCTCTCTCTCCATCTCCCTCCCTCTCCCTCTCCCTCTCTCTCTCTCTCTCTCTATAAAAAAGAAATCTTGTTATAATCATGATCGTCCCCTGTTAACTCATACAACAGAATCATAGGTACAGTGTCAGGTTTACACTCTGTTATAATTTTAAGCAAGGAGTAAATTTGTAAATCTCTCTGACTAATAGAAATAAATTGTGGATATTTTAGTACTTTACGAGTGGATTCAGCAGCGGACATCAGGAATACGTGCGTCACATCGAGTGATTAATTGGTATATGTTTGCAACAGCTGAGATGTCAATTATTAAGTAAAGAAAAAAAGTGTGACAACAGTGATGTGTCTAGGCCGGAAGGGGGAGAATGGTTAAACTAAAGTGGTTACAATTGTAATTCATTCGCCAGACCAGACAAGCATTGTTATGTTGTGGAATTAATATATCAAACATTATGTAATCAGTATGATGGCATCAAAATAGTCATTAGTCAAGTAAGATATACCTACTCTTATCCATGGGTATAAAAGTAAACGTGAAATGATAACCATCATATAAGCTTTCTTCAATCACGACATGACAGTATTATCTATCAGGACACGCCAACTTACAGAAGTAATGTTTACACTTAATGTATATCCGTCGTCTTATATAAATAATACCTGACGATGGCCTCTCACGGGAACCTTTCAAATATATGATAACTGAAGAATCGGGGAAAGATACAATTTTCTGATAATGAAGTAGGCCATACAGGTATGCTGACTTGGAGATGTTCTAAAGTTATCAGATATATGGAAATTATTAATGTTATTGAAATCTGGGGAGAGTATCCTTTCCCATGTAGATTTTGGCTGTTCTTCTGATTACGTTGCATTTTTCTCGGGCGTCTACTAGGCATCAAAATTTAGACCCTTATCATCACTGACGAGCATTAGAAGGAGCAAATAGCTGTATAATGCAGTTTAGTTCATTGCTTGACTCTTCTGTCTCTAATTCTACATATGTATAAAAGGCATTATCTAAGTGTATATTTGTGTACAATCCCCTCCTTAGCAGTATTGGTAATATTTTATATGCATAGGGAGGTAGCGAAAAGAAAATCCTACAGATTGGGTTTACTCACCGAGTATTGCTTTAGGTTAGGATAATATATTAGGATCCTGAATACACATAAATATGATGTAACCTTGTACGCTAATCTCCTTACCGGAAAAAAGCTTTAAAGTAATGGAGTGCTATCTATATTTAGAACGAATATTTTATGCTGTGTATCTCCACAGATATTCCACTTAAACGATTAATGAATATTGAATGACATCTTAGTGGTTAAGTTATTGTCTAAGATTTAAAATAGTTTTGATAAGCATTTCATACTGGCTGAGATGGGAACGAAATTTCAATGAGTAATTTTATCTAACTCACTCATATACGGAACTAAATCATTCTTTGACCAGATGCAGCACTGATGCTAATTACCGTTGACAACGAGGAAAACTATCTTGCTATGTGCTTTGCGCGGGGAAATAACAACTACATGCATAACATATGTTTGATCTTTATATACATGAACGCCATCGTCTCATGACCCACCTAACGAATACCCGCATTCTTGCACTGTAATATCTGAACACGCCGTTCTCAGACCCATGTTCAAGCGAATTCTGGTCTTCCAGGTAAAAGTACTTAGTGTATGTGGTGGACCCATTTATGTTTGGGTTCCCACGCTCCGTCAGCACTGGCACACCCATACCCAATGTCCGATCTGTGAATGAAAACCATGTGATGTTCAAAAACATGTTAAAACAACGCATGCGAGCTATTTCACTTCCTCATTTTTCTGAAGAAGATACTTAAATGCCAATGCAACAACCCAACAGCTACAACATTAATATTTCACAGTGAAAATCCCTCAACTTTCATATAAAAATATTTTCTATGTATTTCCTTAATTTTCACAAATATTGTATCAGTTCAATTTATTTATTTCTAATTTCAATTCAGATTATTTTTAAAAAAAAAACATATATTACAGACTTAATAGTTTTGAAAAGAAATGACATATTTACGGGTAGAACATATATCAGCATGCAAGACTTACATAAGTGTCCTTAGCGAGTTTGATAAGATTATTCCCACGCTGTGATTTTCTAGTGTAGTACAATTAACTAACAAAGAGCATACATACAGCTCATGTAATTTTATTTACTCTACGGTCACTCTGATGGTCATACCTGTACATCCACATTTACTACCCCTTGTTCGTGCTTAGTCAGTGTTACCAATCTATGTTGTACTATCCTTATGTTATACAAAAGACCAGCAACAACCGTTCTCAAGTACAAATGTTGAGTATTAGCACAAGTTACAACAATGATAACATGCATGACCTGAGTATCGAGCTTAACAAGTTACTCTTTCCTCACCAGGACTGACTCTATTTGCTGTGAACTTACAGTTTATCCTGAAGTAATTTATAATCTAATTCCGATAGGCCATTGTGAAAGTGTCTTCTACTGATCTACAATTAAACTTTGAACAGTTAATGTCTCACTGGTGGAGAGCATGTCCTGCCAATGTTTCACGGCATGATTCTGACCGCAATTAAACTATCTGTCGGATCAACCAGCCGGTCATCCTGTCCACAAAGTTGTTTCATTGTCCTAAACCCACGCTAGTGTCCGGTCAATCAAGACAAAGGTGGACAGCTAATCAACCAATCAAAATGCAGATTGCCCCGAACAGCCTGTTTCGATTATCTATACTGATGCCCAAGTCTTCAAACTTTACATTTTTCAACAAGACATTTTTTATGTATTTTCACATTTGATTTTGATGGACATTCTCTCTTATTCGCAAAGTTTTTCAGTTTATACTTGCTTTATCGAAATTGTATTTATCATATGATGTTGTGTTCAATTTGTGACATGTTGTATATATATATATATTGTGTTACACCGCAATTATGTGAATCTGAAGAACTAGTGTAAATTCAGAATACGCAAACACATTATTTTGTATTGTATGTTATTAGCTGTAAACTGTATGTATTTAGTCTTTATATATATCTATAATTATTGTATAGATACAATTTAACTTGTTTTGAAAGTAATTTTGTTAACAAGGTATAATTTACCATTATTAATGCTAGGCATGCACACGGAATTGTGACGCGTATCCAAACATTATGAGTTATCGATCCCTTGTATGATTCTATGCTTCGAAAACGAAAATTCAAGAAATGACAACACGCAGCTTTAAAATGCATAACTACTATTTGACATCACACTTCATATATTCTGACATGTGAACCATCATGCAGGTAATTGTCTTCATTACCGATGTATCATTGCTGCTAATTGATGGGCGATATTTACTCAGAAAACATGTCATGACCCACGCGTTGCTTTGAAGAGAGTGTTTTTGTTTTACACACACTTGACTTTTTACTTGATTTCTTGTCACATAGAAAATTACGTGTAAACATTAATTTAATGAGTTTTTGACTATAGTTTATGTGTTTATTAATCTGAGCATAGGCAATTTATCTCCTAATCACATTATTCATTGTTAATATGGTATTGTGTCAGATTATATGCTGCTGACTGGATGTGACCAACATAAACCGGAAGTAATCTCTGCAAATCGAAAGTAGACTTTGCTAATGTAAACAAGTGAATGTCAAACTCAATACTGAGTCAAACCTATGATTGCTCGTGATTATTTCCCCTTTTTATGTAAATAACTTTTTTGTTCGATGTAGTCTTAGTCAGTGAACATGTTATATATTCTGTTTTAATTACCATTTTAAATTCAAACTTTTAGAGAGCTATACAGCTGGTACATTTGTATGCCGAGCTATATTCCCAGGTTGTGTTTACTTCTCACTGCTAAGCATTAGGTATTATTTGCTTATTTCCCCCATATTTTCACAACTCTAATTATGTCAAAAGAATGTAACACAATACATTTTCCTTAACATAAGTCTAATACTGTAGTTTAATTTTATACGATTGTAACTTTGTATTGATAGGATGTTTAATGTATCTGTATATCAATATTAATTGTAATGTGTTTTGTTATTGAGATGCGTTGTGTATTATAAAAGACATTTGTATTATATACAAATGTATTTGACTATGAACTTGGACGCAAACAAATAAAGTACACGATTATCTTAACAACTGTCTTTAAATCCATGTTTCCAGATTTCACATTTAAAAAAAAAAAAAAAAACAGAAAAAGAAATTCACGAAAACCTCGTTAAAAATACATAAAGCAAGAACTACCGGCGAAACATAGCTATGTAACAATAAACACGACAGTAGAACGATCAGTCTTTGTCGGTGTTGATAATTGTCATCAGTTACACCTTGAAAGAAATGCTGAAGAAATAATACAAGATATTGTCAGATAAGTTTTATTGTATTAAATGATTGTAATATACACCCGTTTGGACAGGATGACAGCCGGAAGTGTGTTCCCGGTAAGTTACGGAAATGAAATGGTGACGGGCCAGGAAGAAGGTTCTGGTCTTGACTAAGCTACACTCGTTGGTGACATATTAACAGTTGCTACCACAAGGACATGAGCACTCAATTTCAATAGCATTCAAAGATAACGTAACACAAAAAATGGCATCATAAAGACTAAAATGTTGATAACTTGTGTATCGAATTATTCTCGCTACAGGCACAGCTGTCGTTAATTCACCTATGTACTCACAACCAGTCATGATTTATGTTTCTATGTTCTCAACAAGCATTATGAGCTGTCTTGTGAGACATCCACGTCGAATGCTGTTTTCGTTTAAAAAACTTATTTCAGAAATGACATAACATGAGACAAACTTTAAGCCAAAATATAAATTTTACATTGGAATTTTATAACTTGTAATTTCATATTGTTTTTGTTGGTTCATATCGTCGCGATTAATACCCCAAACAGAAGTAAAAAAGAGATCATTCTACCTGTACGCTAGATTCACTTCTAGTCTTTCGTTAAACAGTTGGTAGCTTAAGATATAAAATCATAACAAACGAAAGTTTTTATTCCTTGGTCCTGATGTCAAGGCAACACTTCACTACTTGCATAACGAATATACTATTGTTTGTGATAAAACTTTGTTTCGAGACACAAATATCAGGCTTTCAGCAATGGCTTACCGTATGCCTTAATTCTAAATAATTACAAGCGGTGTCAGTTAAAATATATTCGTCCTATATTACAACGATTTTAATCCTCTAGATTACGTCTGACGATATAAAATCGTTTAATGAATCCTCTGAAAGAAATATATAATAGAATGTGAGCTGATGACCTACTTCCATTATTCAAATAAAAGAGAAAATGATTGCTGCTTACTTCCCAAGGATAAACAAGAAAATCACACCCATCTTCCCGGAAAATAGGATTTTCTAGAAGCCAGATCTCAAGAATGAATGCAGATACACAAAGAAAAATGAAGCTTAGGATATATACGGTAAAGGTGATATCATTGTCTACATTGACCGGTACATTAATAAGACCCAACACCCAAAGTCATTAGCTCCAGGAGCGTATCAAAGAAAGACAAGGAGCTGTCTATGTAGTCCAAGTCACCGCTGATTATATAATGTTAATTATTTATCCGAGAGCGCGTTTTGTATAGATTTGATAGATGAAGATTGGATGATTATTTATGTCGTATTAAATAATAAGTTAGTATCGGTGGTTTATTAGTGACCCAAACTACATCACGCATCTAACGAAATAACGTCGGAATCTCATCGTAAATAAACTTACGTTCAATGTAGTTTCTCAAGCGGAAGTACATCATACGACTCACATTGCGCGTGTACTCTCTCACGGTTTCATTGGTGCCAATCCATGATGCTGGTTCGTATTCACGATGTTCGTATCCCTGAAGAGAATAATTCAGTTTGTGATAAACAAGCATGTAGATCGTTCAAAATTTAGTGGGTTTTTTTTTTTATTATTATTATTTTTTGTTTTTGTTGTTTTTGGTTTTTTTTGTTTTGTTTTTTTTTTTTGTATTTTTGGGGTTTTTTTTTTCATTCCAATTCCGTAAACAGATGTAAGACATTCAGAAAAGGTTCCAATGACTAGCAATAATTTCATTCTACATTGTCCGGAATTTCTAGGAACCGACATGTCCTGCCTGTACTCAGGCTTTACCAAACAGAAGCGTTTTATCTATTCATGTAATTATATGCAATCGTTCTTAAATAATACATACAATGTACATACTCAAATTCGGTAAACATATTTGGCGTTACGCACAATTGTAAACGTGTTTGATCTCCAGCTAAAACAAACACGGACGGACAATATACAGTATTTTTAATGCAGTCCAAGTGTTAGGTTTTCATTTTTTCGTTAAGAACGCCAGACTATTAATATATCAAATTAACGACAACATTTATATAGTCACGAGTATTATACATCGAAGTGAAAACGTTAATATTCGATAGCAGATACCGTGCTATATTAGGCAATTCAAACCTTTACTATCGGTATGGTAATAGTAAATTGATTAACATTAATGTTGTGTAATGAGATCAGCTAGAAGCATAATAATTCATGTCCACCCAATTTACCGATTATCAAGGAAACGACTCCCTGTCGTCTCATAGATAAAGTCAATGACCTTACACGTTAATACTCGATGAAATATCTACTGACATCTTTACGTTTTTTCTCTTATATTGCATTTGATAAAACAAATAGATTAAATTGATATTAAAGCCAACAATTCATTTAATAGTTATATAAACATTAATTGTTCAAAACATGAAGCAAACTGATTACTGCATAATGCAATATATCGGTAATTTTACAAGGTATTCAAATATGCATAAACTGACGACACAAAGATGCAATGAAAAGATTTACATTTTAAATACCACTTATTAAACGGGTCAAAGTAATTTTTTTTGTCTTTTCTAATTTATTCGAATCTATGAAAGATGTGTTATTTTGATCAGATATGTGCACTGTTGTAAGACTGTTTATCAATTACCGTACACATGTATATTTTGTAAGCATTCATCAAAACAGCAATTTATTGAACTTACAAAAGACCAAAATGTGGGATTTGCTCACTCAATATCCTTTTTTGTGATGACGTAATGCAACAAAATTAAAGTATTTTGTTAATCATAAATGTAAGCATAACTGAATACATGTAGTTAAATAATGATACTAAGTTGACCTTATGTTGTCGACATTTTGTAATATGATTAATGTAGGCAAAAAGAAGGTTGACAGAAGATAACTTACCTCTCCCTGAGAAAGGACAGTGTACACTGGACACTTGCTGCCATTGTACTCGCACGTGTCTCGTGTGTGAATGACATTTGCGTCGACAAGAGCCGTGATACCTAATACAAGCACGAACCATGTACGCAGTGACAACATTCCTGTAATGAAGGCAGTATTTGTGAACATCTTTGTTTAAAAAGGTGACATTTTATCTAATTTTGGATGCGATTAAAACACACACAGTTTGTAACGGAAATAAAAGCACAAGTTTTCATTTCCATGGCCTATTGAGAGTGGTGAAAGAAAAAACAAAATTACATTATATAATTTTAAAGTCTGTTAAGTTATTATTAATGTGTCATTCTTAATGGCCCATCAACACATAAAAGGTCATTAGGGCCATCAACCGGTAAAACGCACAGCGATCCAAAAAGGAAATAACATCAAACAAACTAAAAGGTAAAAGACAAATGTTAAAAAATTCAAATGGTTATATTATCACAAAAATTAAAATTGCAGGTTATAGTCTATAATTAACACTTACATCTTTCATGTAACCTAGAATCTTATTGATCTCAACAGTTCCAGCAATGGTCTTTAGACTTGTAATGTTACAATAAAAACTTTCTCAGGTTGACAGAAGGTCAATGCAGTCAAATAAAAATGATTACCGGTGAATGGTTTATCATATCCTATGCACCGAGGGCTACGCCTTTCAACATATATGAATGCGTAAGGTATGTATGGCCAATCTGAAGACGGGCAAGGACAACTTCGTCTCGATGGTTGTCACTATAGAATGGAGACCATTTACCGATAATAGATTTTACGGTGTGCAATTTATTGTTAGTATATTGATTCCATTTGTCCAGCCACTGAGCTGTTAAAAAGTGTTTGATAAATAGTTCAAAATTAATTTTAAAAACATCAGGTGGTAGCGATAAAGCTTCCTTTGCGGCACGATCTGCTTTTTCATTGTCTGGTATTCCCATGTGCTCAGGAGCTCAGCAAAAAGCAACATGAAAGTTAAAGGTAAGTTCATGATCTAGTATAAATAAATATTTATTGCTAACACTTTGCAGTACAGAAAGAGAGTCTGCATAGATAACAGCTCTCATTCTTTTGTTTGTTTGATTATATTCAAGGGCGAGACAGATAGCTCGCGCTTCCGCCGAGAATATTAAGGCGTTGTTCAGTAGCCGGCATCCATATGATTCATCTTGTGTAACCATGACCGCGGCAACCTTGCCATTATCTTTAGAACCATCGGTATATACATGTAGAAATTTTTATTTTAACTGCAATTTTGAAAAGGATGAACGAAAGGTGCAACAGCTATATAGCCTCAACAAAGAGACTTGTTGTAGGTATGGTCTTAAAACTCCGAGAGCGAGCCTCAGACACTGGTGATGAACAGTGTATATGAATTTGCGATATGAAGGTCTAACAAATCCATACAAAATGGAACCGTATTATAATTGTGATCTTATAAGAGCTCTATAAAGTCTTAGCAAAACTTTTCTATCAGCTTCCCAGCCAGTGTGGGACCTTGAGAATATTCACTGCCTTAAGGCATTTGGCTTTCAAGTATTTTATGTGTGGAAGGAACGACAATTTCCTGTCGAATATTACACCTAAGATTTGGTTTGCTCAACGACCGGAATGGTTACACCACAAAGAGACATAAAAACTGTTTTTGATTGTGAAAATTGAAATCCATTTACATCTGCCCAGATTTGTTATCGATTCAAACATTGTTGTAGTAAGTATACTTATCACAGCCTATTAAGTATGGCGAATTTCGATTTTAGTTGCGGTATTTTCATATTGATAACACCACGATAGCCCTAATAACACCACGTATAGCCCAAATAACACCACGTATAGCCCTAATAACACGATGTATAACTTTTTGAAACCATGTTATGTTTTTACCGAATAAACGTATAACACTAATAATACCACATATAGCCCTCATTGTCCGATATTACTAAGGCCAATGACCACTTATCCGTTTCCTTTACACATCGAACGACAAAATATCAGTAATAATAAAGGTTATAACATCGTGTTTGGTGTAACGCTTCTTGAAGTAAAGCACACCGGAGAACTCTGCTATTTTCTGCCGAAAAATTACCCAAGACATGATTGTGTAGTAAAAGGGCATTTCTTAAAAATGCCCATGTGTTGTTAGCATTTAGCAAAATGCTAAAACATGTTGAGATGAAAATTAATATATAAAAAGTATAGGCGAAATTTGTGGGACGAAATATAAGATAATTGGCCGAAAAACGTGTTTGAGATTTCAGTCTCTAGCAAGTTGGCCCACCCAATATATATTTATTAATGGATATTTATTTATTTTTATACACATCTGTGTGGTTTTACTTGATTATATAGCCATGTCATAAGCTTTAAGTCCCTTCCAGGGTCACAAGTTCACATTAAGGTCTAGCAGTTTAGATATCCAGGCATATACCACTTTCAATATACAGTAACCTGTATATAGATCAGAAGGCATGTAAGATCCAATCGATAAGTATATCCACTTGAACTTGGAAAAGGTCATCTATATGTTTCCCCAGAACCTACATCTTTTAAGGACAAACCAAAAAATGTGTAATTAGTATACATATAGGAACAAATGAATGCATGTGCATTACATGGCGTCACATATTTGTCTGTCCTAAACTTCGGCGTCAGTCTGGGCTAGTCTTGTGAATTGATTATATCAATCTTTATCGTCTCCAGACTACATTCATTTGATAGCTAGCCCGCCTCCATCCCCTAGTCTTTCCGCCACTTGATTTCTGTTACGTAGTTCTTGAACATATTAGATGTATATAGACATGCAATGGAGAGGTATCATGTACTTTCGTTTTAATAGTTCTCTAACATGTCAGCATTTCTAGAGCATTTCACCTAAAAGGGGTTGTTTCTGTAGTCAGACAAGCCATTTTATTTTATTCTCAATCAATAAATCATAACATATTTTTATATCTATGTAAAGGTTCTGAGACCTATGGTTCCCACAAAAGCCCAGGGACCCCGGCCCCATATAGGTTCTAGAACCTCCGGACCCCACATAGATTCTGGGTCCTCCGTTCCCCACTTAGGTTCCTGTACCTTTTATATATTTGAATGTATTTGTTCTGTAATGAAAAAGTTGTTTGATATTTAGGTCTTTGTGGGAGAAGTACGAAAGAAATATACCAGATTTCATGTTAATAGATTATGTGCATGTACATATCTTAGAGTTCAGAGGTAGAAAAGCAATACAGCTTAGGCATCTAGTTTTGAGTTTGTTGTTTATAAGCCATGTAATGTAGTTAAGTGTTACACCATTCTGCTATATATAGCCTGTGAGATACCGTGTACAATAAATGTATTAATATTATTTGTTACAGTCCAGCGAATTTGTTAAAATGTTAATAAGATTTACCATGAATTAAAATTGAAACGCACAACTTTCCTGCGTTGAACCAGCTTAGATATTACTGAAGATAAAAAAAATGCACACGAAATGCAAACAGAGATAATAAAATCATAGATATTGTGAAAAGCTATGGAAACACTTTAGAAACGGAACAAAGACACCACCATGACCTTGAAAATCGGGCTCGTGACCTTGAAAACCAAAACTTGACAATTGAACCAGAAAATAATCATTTGAAGGAAGATTTGTTGAAAATGCAGGCTCGCTGTATGAAACATAATTTATTTTTCAACGATATCGAGGAAACTGACGAGGAAGAAACGGAAGCGGTTTATTAGTGTAGTGTTGGAGGTTGACAATGCTGATAGTATTCATTTTTAAAATATTCCTCGCCTAAGGCCTAGGAGAGACAGAAAATCGAGAGGTATCATAGTAAACTTTAAACTATACAGTGATAATGACGCGGTCATGAAGCGAGTACCAGTAAAGTTACGAGACACGCGCCAGTACTCTGTTTTCAACAACTTCCACAGTAAATCACATCATGGTGAGAGCGTACGACTCGTATATGACAGGCTCTATGGGAACGCGGCCACCATATCGACTCGAGAATGACGTACCTGCTTAAGCAAGGGCCTGAGGACAAGACGCACGTGTACCTGTACGCGGCGACAATTGACAGCACATATCGGCTAGATCTTCAGGTATATTAACTGATTACGGAAATCTTTCCGTTAGCTGTCTAAACGTATGCCGAATCAAACAGAAAGTATTGAACCCAGATGTTCTCAGTTTAATTAATGAAAATGATATATTTGTGTGTGTTGAATAAAAAACTGATGAATTTGATGAATTAGAGGTTCCCAATGGTAACCGCTATCTTTAGAAAAGTATATCTAAATTTAAACATAAATCCGGATGACCTACTGTAATATATTAATAAAATATGTTACCTGTAACTGATCGAGATCGAGGTATCTCAGTCGAGGGCTAAGATCCTGTAACATATCCAAACCGAGGCGTTAGGTTGGGACTGAGATACCCCGATCTCGCTCAGTTATACAGGAAATACATTCTTTAAATACCTACTTCTCTGAAAGTTATTCAATATTTCATCAGAGTTTGGTGTATCCCGTGGGAGCTTCAAATACCCACACAGCCTCTTCATTTTTAAACAACGTTTGGATAGTGCCATGTAAGCAATGCAGGCCGCACTTAGAAAAATATTAAGGTCGCATTTTTTATTTTGTTTTAAATATGATTAATTAAACAGAACATCGCTTAAATGTTAACAGGGACAAGACCTACGTTTTTGTTGAAATGAACGGGAGTTGGTGCCACCTTCGCCTACACTCGAATGATTACACTGATGTGTAACAAATATCTGAGAAAAATGCACTCAAGGGTACTAGACAGATCGGGCGAGATTAAAAAAAATACGTGGGATATCTCTCTCTGAGGTGCGAGAAAAATCTATTCCGTCTAATACTTTAGAATTTATTACATTTTAATTCAGACACATGATTAATTCAGTGGATTGAGGTTGTCATAGGGAACTTGAGTGCAATAATAGGGAGTGTCTATATTCCCATGGATGGGTATGCATACTCATCAAAAGAATATTTATTGAAATTGAAAACTAATCGCTCGATCTGTCGTCAGATATGGATAGTATTTTGTTAGTAGGCGACTTCAACGTTCGCACAAACACACCGGTCGACT